ATAATGAACCAATAAAGTTATTTCGGTAGCCATGTTGGATGTTTCTTGTCATCCAACATGGCGGACTCATCCAGGTTATCAATCATCACCGTAGATGGACAATAACATGTGAAGATAATAAATAAATAAATAATAATAAACCAATAAAGTTATTGCGGTAGCCATGTTGGATGTTTTCTGTCATCCAACATGGCCGACTCATCCAGGTTATCAATCATCACCGTAGATGCACAATAACATGTGAAGATAATAAATAAATAAATAATAATAAACCAATAAAGTTATTTCGGTAGCCATGTTGGATGTTTTCTGTCATCCAACATGGCCGACTCATCCAGGTTATCAATCATCACCGTCGATGCACAATAACTTGTGAAGATAACAAATAATAAATAAATAAATAATGGGATTTAGGCTCTTCTAATTCATCCACCGAATTAATAATTAATTTAATAATGATAATTTATTAACTTTTAAAACGCAAAAATCTATATACATATTCAAGTGCGCTATATAACTACTTCAAGTACAAAATGTATATACAATAATAATAATAATGAAATGGAAAACTATTAAGAAATGAAAACTAATTCTAATGGTTACTAATGCAAGAAAGCCTTAGTAAATAAATGTGTCTTAAGTTTCATCTTAAATGAAGCAATAGAAAGGTCAGTATTCCTGAGGTCTAAAGGAAGTGCATTCAAAGCTTGGGCGCTGCCGACTAGAAAGCGCGATCACCCAGCGTRCTTTTTGATTTAATTTTAGGATGGCTTAACATTATGCCATTGTTTATAATATTATGATATAGCTGTAAGAAGGTCTATTATWAAAAAAACTATATTTTAAAATGAGGTGGATTATTTTAAATTTATTTCAGGTGCAACACAGAATTACGCGCGCAAGTACAAAATACCTATCGATCACTTGGGGTATGACTTTGAAGTTCTCGACGACAATCAGGAATTAGACTCAAAACCCGTACGTTTTCTCTTTGTATTGTTACCATGTCTTCCTTCCTTTTTTTATTACTTCCATCATTACCTACTTTGTATTCGTTCGTTCGTTCGTTCGTTCGTTTGCTTGCTTGCTTGCTTGCTTGCTTGCATGTTTCCTTATCCGTCTGTGAATGTCATAAAAAGTCTTTTACATCTTCTGTTCAACAGGAAGACGGTGTTTACGTCAAGGGACTATATATGGAAGGTGCTCGATGGGACAGGGACTCAAAGGTATGCATTACTTTGTACTGATAGTATTCAGGACCTCCTCCTTCACTTCATATTCTCTTCTCTTTTTTCCTTGCAGGTTATCGGTGAATCGTTACCCAAGATTCTTTACGATCCCGTTCCTTTTGTATCCTTTTATAACTGATAGATAAGTCTATAGACCAAATTCAAAACTCGCACCGATGTGAGGCTTAAGTTGTGAACAAAGGGATCTGGCGTGACTCAAAGCAATCTGGCGTGATTCAAAAGTCACGAATCACGCCAGATTCCTTTGTTCACAACTTAAGCCTCACATAGGTGCGAGTTTTGAATTTGGTCTATAAGGTCATGAAAGCCGTATGGGATCTTTCCAAAAACTTAAATCTAGCATTCGCAGGCGCATGCGCATGATTGTACGAGCTTTGTCGTCTGACCAGAAACTCATCAGGGCCGCCATATCTCCATTATAGTAGTGTTTCTGGTCATACGAAATCTGCTTGTTTKTCAGGCTGATTAAGTTTATTTGGACATATTTGTCTTGCATGGTTTCATTTGACGTCATTTCCTGCCTCGTGCTGAATGTTCATCACTGAAAGACTTYGATCACAGCTGATTGAAACCCAGTAATAGGCCTATTATCTTACAGCAATTATGTATTCCCATGCAGAGCAGCCCAATTTGAAGGACAAAGCTGAATTTATTTCAATTTCCATACATCCTCATTTTCAATTCGCATTGTTTTGTCTTCCAAATTCAGCAGTTTTCGTATGAGTGTGAAAAGTTCACGGCACGAACACGGTCGTGACACAGCAAGGGATAAGCCAGACAAATCGCATTGCACGAGAATTTACTCTCCATCCAATCAAATACCCGGAACACGGCATAAACACGGCGCGCACACGATCACGCCAAGATCACGGCACTTTTAGACCAATCATATTGCGCGTGAAAAAAATCAGCCAATTAAAATTCTAGAAAGTATCACGGTCACGACACGTCACGCTTACGGCACTGAGCTTTTCACAGTCATACGAAAACCGCACTAGCATAACTTATATACTCACGAGGTGCGTGCTTCTGGAAAGGAAAGAAGTTGAGGGGATGGGGCAAGATCAGTTTTAAGTACAGCAAGTATAGCAAAACTAATCCTTAACACAGGTAACCCAGATCTGGATAAAACCTTGTGAAATAACAAAACTGGAGGAAAAACAGACCTACTCGTGCCCAGGTAAGCCGCGCATACAGAGTTTCTGTAATGTCGACTTGTCTTTTTTATTATTCAACATCATTGCAATGCATTATGGATATTTGTATTCTRAGAGTTAAATAAAATATAACAGGCGCCCCGATTGGTGGAGCACTGGGTAGGGCTATTCACATGAGTAAATATATAACACGCGCTTCGATTGGCCAAAAGTCATTTGCGCATATTTACATAAGTCAAAGTATAAAGCGCGCTGCGATTGGTCTAGTGATGAACATGCGATTGCATGTTTCTATAAAACAAACATAAAGCGCGTCCAGATTGGACGAACATCCCAATCCTACTATGTGTTCTAGCTTAAAATAAAATAAAAAGTTAGTTCAGAAAAGTATCGAATTAATTTTYGAACCATTATCCAAACATCTCAGAAAAAAAGCGGTATAACCCCATAAAGTTTAAACCAAGCTTGGGCTCATTGTGCATGATGCGAATTATATGGAAAAGATACATTCCTCCAACATGGCGACTATGACTTTACACGCACCATTAGAAGGACTGACAAGAATAGACATGTTCCTATATTGGTTAACATGCCCCTAATATAACCCAATGTGTATATACCCTATATATAGGTCCTATGTCGTTGGCGTTCAAATACATGGTATACAATAAACGATGTATACCTAAAATGCGTCAATATTGTTTCGCTTTGGTCGTAAACCATCGATATTTGGTCACTAGATTCAATATCCGCTGTTCTTATCGCTGTTCATATTTATTGAATTACGGTGTACGTTCTCTCTACCACTCAGTATCTGTCATTTTCGCTCGCTTCAGACTTCACTAATATCTTCGTGGTTTACACTTTTTTTAAAGTCTACAAAACCAGCGCCCGTCGAGGGATCCTTTCCACCACCGGGCATTCAACCAACTATGTTTTGAGTATTAATCTTCCCACATCCTGTGATGAGAAAACATGGATTGTACGAGGCGTGGCCATGCTATGCCAGCTTGATGACTAGCGTCACTATATTTGAAAGCATTCAAGGCAGTTTTGAAGCGATTCTTGTGTTCTGCCAATTTGGATCCAACAGCTTGTGAGGAAAAATATTTTCAATGAGGCGTGGTAGTCAGGGGATTAATATAAAAGAGACCAAAACATCATCGTCTGGATTGAAAAGAAATCATTAGAACTAAATATAAATCGTGGGATTTTTTATTTGTACAAAATATGAACTAATGTGTTATGACGTCAAGTCAATATCACTTTGATTGATTCCTAATTCTCTTAATTCTCTTCTAGTTTATAAATATTAACGACTGTATTTTATTTATGAGAAAATATTTTATTGTGAATATATATCGCTTGCCACAACAGAAAATATATTTCTTTACAAGAATGAAATAAATAATTTAGAAAGAAGATATATTATATTAATAGTTGGAAATAGTTGAAAAGAAAATCTACTGTTGATCTGAAAATTTTGGTCGGGTGAGGATACCTACCCACACTCTGAAAATAAATGATTTTTTTGATGCTGTATATTATTTTATCGTGCAGGAATCGCTTGTCTATTACTCTCAGAATGCGATAGTTTTTAGAAAATTTGTAAATAATTGATTAAGAAAAAAWAAAGTTATGGATATATTTATGTAACGAAGCGTGCTCGTGTTGATTTATTTATATCAAGAGGACTTATTGTGTATTTTGTTTCATGGAGAGAGGTTTCAAGAGGTTTCTCAGTGTTGTTCAATATACTTTTTTCGTTACGTACCAACATAATGGCAGGAGAAGATCAATCAAATAATGAATTATTATCTTGTCAATATCATACTTCTGAAATGTCAATCACTAATATATCTATTCATTTATATATTCTATTTATTCATCTATCCAATCTAGACATTTGTTCACATGCGCTCATCAGTCCAGCTTCATTCTATCCATGTATTTGTCGATTTATTTATTTATCAATTACTACGTGCAGTTGTGTTTTTCCCCTTAACATCCTTTTAATCTCGAGTCTTTTATTCCCAGATAATATATTTCTCCATCCATCCATCCATCCTTTTATTTCCTTAATTCATTCACAAGTGTGCCATACTGCTAGTAGTTCCGTTTCCCCCCCCAAACATCAATCTAATCTCGCTTCTATTACCAGATAGCCTTTTACCATATCTTTTATCTTTTAAATGTTCCCATCAGTACAAAATCGTTCTCCTTTACTGATCCACCATTCACCGCCACTGAAAAACAACCGCGGCTGACAAACAAAAGTCTACTTTGGCAGCTCGTCTCAATCAGTCGCGGAAATGATCGGGATTTTGAGACAGTCTAGAAAGTACCGTTCGTTTCATGCCATTAAGCCTTATTTTGATAGAATGATGTAAAATGCTATATTAACCGCTATGTTATGAATGTTCTACGAGTAGGGCGTTTTTAAATGAGTACGTAGAATACTGAACATATGAATCTATAGAGTAATGGACGCTTCAATTGCGTGGACATGGAAGGAACAGTATTTTCACGCTTCGATTCCACGGGCATTGCAAGGTCTAATAACAACAACCACAGGCGATTCTTTTTTTCTTCTCAGCAATTAATCTTTAAATCCTAAATATAGTATAACATCCACGTATGTAACACACACAAACGTCGGTATTCTACACTTTAGTATCTTTTTTACGAAATCCGTATTATCGAAAAAAAAATCACAGCACATCTCATGCTCAGCACACATTGTACACACAGGAACAAACAGCTAGCAAATCTAATTTCAGGAGGTACTTTTGATAACTTTAACGACTATTTGTTTCAAATACACAACATTCAAAAGCATGACAGGTTGCACGTAAAACAATTTCCTGCAAAAACTACAGCATCATTTCCCTCTATCCCTCAATTTCCCCCCCAAAAGAGAGACATTGGTATCCATTGCTTCTTTTTCTTATAAAATACATCAGCTAATACATTCTTCTATTTCGGATATCTCTTACGCCCTCGATTCTTTTTCCCCTTTTTACAAGGGCCGGAATTTCTGTCATTCCTAAAACTGACAATCTCAGCGTTTGGCACAAGAATCCCCACATCAATTAGAAAATGACTGTTTGATCAAGTTCAGCTATATATAGTCATGAAATAAAGACGACATTTGATAGAACACACAGAACTACTTCTGAATAATGCGTATTTTTCCTGCGATTTTTTTGCGATTTTGTCCATAATAAATAATAATAAAGAATTTACTTGTAAAGTCTTTTTCAGGATACCAAGATTTTCCTAGACCAATGTCTCTTTTGAAGGGTGAGACTAAAGATTTCATATTTCCGAAAATTGCCACAAAAATTGCAGCAAAAATCGCCGCAAAAATCGTCAATGTAAACAGGGCTATAAGCCTTTTATTAAAAGCAAACAATCGAGAAATGGAACGCCAGGACTTAAGAGACAACTTCCCGGGAAATTTTAAAAAGAACAAACATTGTGTCGTTATTTGCCTTCAAAAAATTAAAATCTTGCCATTGAACAATTCAAGTGTTTCAAAATCTTGGAATTTTCTCAGTTCGCTTTGAAAGAGGAAGCTGAGGTATTTTCGGATCGATCTTAAGCATATAGGCGCACGCAATACAGTTCTGATATAGTTTTTGTATCATTATTTTATAGAAAGCAAACAAGAGGCTAACATTCATTCGTATTTTGGTTCGCGGTTAGGGCTAAAGCGTCTCTCTGGGCCATCTAGTCATTGCCTCTCRTCACTCCATATCTTTTTGACTAACTCCACTTTCTTTCCTGCTCACACTTTCAATCTCGGTATCTCTACTGTTGATCTTTTAATGTTGTTCTGAATTTTCTTGTCGAGATCGTGACTTAGCGACACTGTGTGGTTAGCTCTATGTTCTTATCTGTTTACTTGCGCGCATTGAGCGGCAAAAGTCCTCTAAATCTAAGCATCTGGTGATAACATACTACCTAACAAACTTGATTTTCAACAGAAAAAAGATAATCTTTTGGGAACCACACCTCAAGGTTATTTAGCGCGCAGCAAGTTCAAACAAACTCGTTGCTAAAACAAAACAATGCAGCGAATTTCGGGTTTTCTTTCTTAGTTTTTTTAAATATTTTTTTTCTTTATTTTTTAATTGTTAATTTGTATTTTTTTGCGTAGACTCAATACACAAGGCTATAACCATATTAAAAGCACGTTTTTCTAATCGGTCGAATTTTTGCATTGGTTAGTACACTTGCACCTGGTTGATCAAAAATCAGAGGCCTTCTTCCTCCTCTTGTCTTAACCCCCTTGTAACATGATTGTTATCCATATATTCATCAATGAACTGTCTTCACGTTTCGTTTGGCCCAAAKAATAACTTAATCTACAGCACAATCAAAATCAGTGAACCTTTTTATTATAGAATCCCATAAATCAAAATGACTAATATTGCCGCCTATCGTAGGATTTTGTATTGTCAGGGAAAATATATCCACGTTCTCAACACTACACCAACAGCTAGGGATCCTTGATCTATCACAAATTCTCGATTAAAATCCAAGCAGTTGAGAGATAACGCAGAAAAAATAACGTAAAAACAACTCGAGATCTTCGAGATATTAACGTTGGGCAAAAACAAAATTCTGAAAATGTGCGCGCAAACGCACCTCGATTTACAAGGATTTTTTTGCGAGTCAAAAATTTGACGGTTTCAAAATAATGAGTGCCTCAACTTTTACATTTTTTTAAAAAGGTTATCACGTAGTAATCTTTAATTTTGACATTTTGTTATTCCTTACATTCGGTATCGTACACACCTGTCAGTGTTAATTTATTCAACAACGTGACTCCAACCAATGCCTCGCAATTTGTTCCGCTTATGATTTTCTTGTGGTGATGGTTTAGCACGACAAAACATCGTTCTCTTTCGGGTTTTTTATTTATGGATTCTGTCTGAAATCGAGGTAAAAACGCGCGAAAAAAACCACAAATTTTCTAGAATTAATTGAAAAAATCGCCTAAATTCTTAGGAAATCATTTGACGAGACAAGTTGTTAAATAAAGGTGTATAAAAATTGAAAAAGGAAAGGGTCAAGYTTTTTTATTCAATATACTAACCATAGATTAATCATTTACACAGGTTCGCAAAACGAATTTTAATTATCAATRCAAGGACATAATATTAAAGAACCATAATTGAGAAGTATTATTATGAGTCGCTAGTCCATTTAGGATGCCTCCTCTGTTAGAAGCAAATGATCGCTGTCACTTAGCAAGTGAAAACAAAAAACAAAAAAAGTGGTGACTAGATGAATTATAAAAGAATATATTTACACCTTGAAACAGGGAGTTTTTGAAGAACTTAAAATCGCTTTTGTTGAGCGGTTTTGAATAGGAGGACCATAGTGTTGTGTATTTGGGTGCTTAATGAACTGTGTATTGCTCAGTAGGACTTAGTAGAGTCCTGAAGTGATATTGCGCATGATCGCTCACAAAAGCCCAGTAATTGGCTGACTTAACTCGATTCCCTCCGAGGTGCCACAGGCCCTGACTGTGAGTGCAGGCATCGTTATTACGTTTTCCATATCAACTATAAATCACATGGAACTCCTTTGGCATCTCAATAGAACGTGTTGGTCGTCGACAGAGCTGTGGTCTCGATGCACGTGGATCTCCGATGGAGTCTGACAAAACAACAAGACCACGAAATCTAAACACTGAATCAAATCTACATTTTGAGCTCCAGAACATCGAGTCTGATGCTTCTACAGAAACTAATGACATGAATCGCTGCCGTAAAAATAACTGTACAATTCAACCAGGGACACTGACGGCTGGTGGTGCTGGAAGTTCTCAGAAACGTTCACCATTCCGCACGAGCTTACGAAGTGACACGGTCTCGTCTCTGGATCAAACTTTCGTGAGTTTCCGAGATGTGGACTCGGCTAAGAGACATTACCATCGCCGTTTGCGTAATTTGTCTGGTTTAAGCAGTGCTATGGGTATTCTAGCAGTGATATTTGCAATCTTAGACATCGAGTGCACGAGAATCAGGCTAAAAAGAAACGCAGAATCTCAAAAAATCTCCAATTCTAATGGAGTCCTCAGTTTGACAGGCGATAGTCTAGGACTCGCCGGAATCGTTTTGAAAGCAACTATTTCATTACTTTCAGTTCTGACATGTATAACACTGTACAAAATCTATATGACCACTCGAAACCTCTACGTTGTAAAAAACCTTTATCACGAGTCAGAGAGCTTCCTCACCTCATCCCTCTTGATCAAATACTGTCTGGAGACTCTGATATGTTTGCTTCACGTCCCTCCACTTGTAGACAACCTCGGGGTCCGGTTCATATACAAAATGCAATTACTAGTCCTGGTCAGGCTTTACCTAGTAACGCGTTGTGTTAAAGAAAGAAGTCAATTATTCAACAACCAGTCTACCAATTTACTTGCCTCCGTAACCAAGACGGATGTCTCTTCGAGGTTTCTCGTCAAAACCTACTTTTTAAAAGAACCATTTTTGCTGATTTTTACATTTTACACCCTGAACGTCTTTCTCGGTGGGTACTGTGTTTACATAATAGAAGACGATCTTCCTTATCTGGTAAGTGAATTTCAGTTATTCTCTACTTTATTATATTTTTGAACTTTTAAGAAGGTTCCCCGAAAGCATGGTTCGCGCTATTTTCCATGTATTTACCTACACGAAGCCTTCAGGCCTAGCTATACTAAGTGTGCTATGTGCTATCATTTACAGCATCTTGTTTACCGTCTCTAGCGACTAATGGCTTGCTACGAAAAAGGTTTACACTCTTAAATCCAGTGCAAAAATGTAACTAAGATATTCCACTCGCTCTTATAAATTAGAAGTAAACAGTACTGTCAAGTTCAGAATTATTAACTTGTACGTGCGCAGTAGACGTCGAAATGTGTGTGTTCTGAGTAAACATATAATTTCCTAATTTCCTTGTTTTTGTGAACGTACTAAACTGATCGAGGATAGCTTCCTGGGGTTGCTTTAAAAACTCATCTAAATCTCCATCAAATCTATACAAGCGCCAGCCTAAGTTTTGCTTCTCGAAACAAAGGATTTTCAATATTATTTCCAATACAAAAACTCGTGAGGAAAAGACTTTTTTGAAAATGAATTGGCCGTACTTAACAACTGCAGAGGTTTTCTTAACATAATACCTATGTTTAGCTTTGAAAAGCTACAGGAATCCGTAGAGAAACACATGCCAAAATTAACAAGACTTTTTGGAAATTGCCGGCAAATTTTCTTCAATTCAGAGACCACTTTTTACAAAAGATTAAATGTTTTTTACGTGAAGTTCATTCAAGAATAAACATCTATTGTTTCGCTAAGCTTTAGTTCTAATTCACACCGTACATTAGGGTTTAATTAAGAATTTGAATTTTTGTGTTGAGCAGCTTCATTATTTAAAAAAGATTAGTGAAGCAAAATTTAGGAAAGATAAAAACGATCTTTAAAAATCTGATATATTTTGTAAAATATCGGTAAAAACTGAAACAGCTGAGCACCTATGACCTGATCGAGTACATTATAARTGATTGAAGTTTCCTTTGTTATTATGACTACGAGAATAATTTTTTTGCCATTACATAATTCATGCTAATAAAGAGATTTTCGGAATTAACCTTGCCAAATTTAACTTCGGAACTTTTCTCGGACATGTTTTTCCTGCTGAAGCGACCACAATTCTTCTAAAATCTGGGGTTTTTGTTTTGTTTTTTTTGTTTTTGTTGTTGTTGTTGTTGTTGTTGTTGTTGTTGTTTTGGTTTTGGTTTTTGTTTTTGTTTTGGGTTTTGGGGGTTTTTTTTCTAAAATTTTTGCCAGATATAAATTTAATAAAGAACGCCGACTTTTTTTAAATAGTTCTTATAATTATGCGATTTAAAAAAAATAAAAAGCAAGGAAAACCACTTAGACTATTTCAAGTAGAGAGTTTCGAATACACAAACGGTTATAACTGAGTTAAAGTGGAAACTTAAGAAAGTTAAAAGCATTAAAGTTTCTTCGTTTGAATATTCTCTAGAATAGCCATAAACTGACTTTTGCGGTATCTATCGTTCTTTTCTCGGTTCAAAAACCAAGATGGTTCATCATTATTTACCTCAAAATTCAAAGTTTAATGTTTTTTGTTAGTCGTTTTAAGAGCGGAGCTAAAAGACTCATTAATTCGTGCAGAACTTTGTTCCAACTCGGATATTATTAGTTGGAACTATTGTCTCAAATAGTTCCATTCCACTTTATTCAAAAGGCTTAATATTCGGTCGCATTTCCTATACAAAGTCTAGAACTTTTGGTAGCAGGTGCAACTGAGCCAACTTGCAGCGAACAAGAAAAAGCTAAGAAAAATGAATCCATCTCGGCAAGCGAGCCGTACAGCTGAGAACAGAGCAGTAAGTTAACAAGCTGAAGGCAAAAATTAATTTCTCTATAAATAAACTCATCTTCTTAGTTCCAGCGACAAAAAAGTCTTCATTTTCTTTCGTATTTCTCTAATATTTGTTTATAGTTACTGGGGCTAATTTTTAAAGTAATACGGAACTAACTGACGGTAAAAGGTATTCGAATATCAAAATATAACCCAAAAAAAACTGGAATAAAATAGTAAAAGCGGTCCCACCAAGTTAATAACTAGATTAAGCGACAAAGTAACCATAAATGCCATACGTAGTAAAAGTTAATATTGGTTACCAAAGATATTTATTATGTCTAAATTTAATATTGCACTAATTATGGTTTTGCTGTACTATACAGCTATTTTCAATCCTGTTTCTTTAGTGCTTTTCTTCAAAACGGTTATCAATATTGATACTTTTGTCTCTTACGTACCTCTCAGATTCCAAACGATTTCTGGAGCGATAATCAATGAGATATGCAGAAAACTATAAAGCTTTAATCCTTCCCTTAAGATTTTTAGTACATTTAGAATTATAAAATGCGTGGAGCTTTGTCTAAAATGATAACTATTGGAGAAAAGACTAGAGAATTTCTATTAAATCCTTTAATCGAAAGTGCTATTAAAAATGTAGTACAGAAGAAATGAATAAATTCAAGTAAACAACCTCGTTCACCCAAAGAAGGCGAGCCTGTATACTTGACTTCTATAACTTGTCGAAAAAAAGATACATACGCCGTCTAGTCAATTGTTTATTCTATTTCCTTTGATCTAGATCTTCATTTTGACCTCTGAATCCAACCTGCTTTTTATTTTAACGCAAAAGGAACCGTGTTTTTTCTCTGAGATTGTGTAGTGTTTTATTCAGTAGCAGACAACGAGGTCGTAAGCTAACTTGGAGCTCTTCAGGGTTTTGCTTTGTCGCTTCCATTACTCTAACCCGGATCTGATCAAGGAATTACCGCTTATCTCGCTATGAACGCGAGAAATCCTACTTAGTTATCCATTCCCTCACGACAAGAAATGGTGCTTTATTTACAATAAACCCACCACAACATCTTTATAATAATTCTACAATTTTTATCACATTTTTTAGCCAGAAATTGACGGGTTGTTTTTTTTTTTTTTTTAATCGTCTTTTTCTAGTTATTCTTTTCGGAACGTTTGTAGGCCGTACTGGGCGAGGCAACGTCATTCAAAACTTTGTCAGATTGTTACAGGAACATTATAATATGTTTTAATCCTGTAGGGAAGATGAAAAACGAATATAAAACACCTCTCATTTACGTTAAAACAGATTCCACCCTAAATATCCAGACATTATAGCTTACTTCGTTTCAAGTTAGGACGTAGGCGTTTAATTTTTGACGAAACTCTAGAGTACGTATTATAAAAAGATACCTCCCTTTTAAACTATTACCCATTAGTTTTCGTTTTCGTTATCAAAAGAATACACTGAAGATCTTGTTTCTGTTCGCATAATGAATAGTCACGTCTAGAAAGTATATTTTATGAAGTTTTTCTTGCTAAAAATTTGCCGGCATTTTAAAGTACGAAGTCCAAAATATCTTCGTCAGCTTTCGTATAATACGAGACTAAAAAAACTTTAGTCCTTTTAAATACGCGTATTGTACTTTTCTCTGAATAACGGCTAAATATCATTAAATCATTCTGTTTTCTTTTCAAATTTGAAAAGAAAAGAAGTGGAAGACGTGCGGCGCAGTCGTTTTGAAAGGGCTTTTGCTTCAAAAGCGTTTTTTTTTTTTTTTTTTTTTTGCAATAACAACTTTTCTGAACCTTTATTCAATGAAGCTTTTCATTCATTAGTAAGACCAATTCTACTGTTAATAGCTATATTTGTTTCCCTGCACTAACGATTATAATAATCGAGTTTCAATATCCCCATGACGCTGGTAACATATTGATTCCTTACGCACCATGAAAACCTCTACAATACTTGCTTGAATATTTTTTTAAAAAAACACACTTACAGTGAGGACACTTGAACCGTGAATACTTCGAGTTTTTTTAGATTGTTATTTCCTGAACTTTCTACTGCTTCAAACCCTCTAAACTACAGCGGCTTGAGTTCAAATACACCGCGAGTGATCTAAGTAAATCTTATTTCCAATCTACTGGCTCAAGGGATGATTTACTGTATGCATTTGAAAAGTGACAAAAAAAGTCGTTCTCACTGTAACAAAATGGAAAAAACTAGCAAATCCTAGCATTGATTAATCTACATTTTATACACGTCTAAGGCCCCGTCCACACTTTGCCGGATGAATTTGAATCCGAATTTTCACACCGAAACCAAAAAWAAGTTTTCCGTCCACACTAATACGGCTAGCCGGCGTTTTCAAATTGGTCCACTCTGGAGACCGTATTCGAAAAAATCATTTTCGGTGAAGAATTGTTCCGGATTCGCCCGCGGACTAGTGTGGACGGTAGGCCTAACCGATTAAATAAAAATTCGGATTCAAATTTATCCGGCATAGTGTAGACGGGGCCTAAARCTAATGAGATAATGAAAAGAATATTTTAACCAACAATTTTGAATCTCGGGATTCTGGGATCCTGTCACCAGTAAACTACATCAACACTGCCTCTTCAAATGAAGCCTYTATGAGAGTCAAGAAAATTACTTCTGACGAAAAAACAATTAAAATTAATGGTCATCATTTGATGTATATAAAACTATTCTAGCAAAATTAAAGTAATACCAAGGCGTACAATCGGCTGATGAAGCCTAGTCAAAAAATATGCCCCTTTCATATTGTATTAAGGTTCAAAGCAGTCGGGCTGGCTGAAATTTTCTTAAAATATATTTTAATGAAAACTCTGAAGGTCACGGAATAAGCCATTACTTGTGTTTTTTTGTGTGTTTTTTGTTTTTTTGTTTTTTGTTTTTGTTTTTTGTTTTTTGCTTATGATATTGATACGAGTTTGAAATTAAATCTTCATTCCGGCGATAGTTTAAACTATCGCGCAATCGAAACTACATTAGTTAAGTTACTTAAATCAGTATTTATTTTTTCTTTAGTCACTAAAACAGTTCCACAATATTTCATAGGAATAATCCACAAAGTTTATTATTTCCAAGCCTTTTTATTTGAGTCATTCCAACTAAACTTTTCTCGATGCATTTTAAATTCTTAAAATAAATTTTTCATTTAAAAAATTTGTTTTTACGATAACCGTTTTCTACCATRGTTAAAAGAACACTAAAAATCATGCAATTTAATTTACAAAGGCAAGAGAACATTCTTTCTTACTTAATTATTACTTATTTATTCAGTATTTTTGATGTATTGTTGCAAATGAATAATAGATTAAGAGAGGCAAATGTAATGATCCGGCAGCAAATGATYAACACTTTCTGTTTAAATTGATTCTGTAATCTTTCTGTTTTCATTCGTTCATTATTCATGTCGTGGAAATTAAGACAACCAAGTCCATCGGAAGGTTGAATGAATAGTGAAATGACTTAATTCAGGAACTATATGGATTTGTATTTTATGTATTATGCATGCGAATAAGATACTTTATCTTTTGATATCCCGCTTAATTTCTCGCTCAAACCATGCTTTTAAGGAATTATACTTCAATAAGATGATGCGTGGTGTCTGTTGGTCTGTTTGTCTGTCTGTCTATCTGCTGTATCTCAGTTTGTCTAAAACGGTTTGTTTGACTGTTTGTCTGTCTGTTTAACTCAATTCTTTTAGTCCTGTCTGTCTGTGTGCTGCGTGCTTAACTGTGTGCCTTTCTCTCTCTTTGTTTTAGTCTCTCCGTCCGTCTGTCTGTCTGTCTGTCTTTCTGTTGCTGTCTGTCTCTCTGTCTCTCTGTCTGTCTGTCTGTCTATTTTCTAGCCCCATGCGAAGAAATACCGTTTTTTTCCACTGCAGTCGCGCGTTAATTAGAAATCTTGGTATAGTGAAACATTCGCGCATGCCTTTTTACTTGTCGATGCTGTCCAATATTTTCATCAAGCCTGTTTTTAATCATTTGAAATAATATTTCCCTTTTAAAGGACAGGGTATGGATGATGGTCGTTACCATGACGACTCTAGGGTTTGGTGACGTAGTTCCTGTCAATATCTTTGCACGTGGATTGGTTGGTTTCGCCTCGGTTCTTGGGATCTTTCTCATGGCTTTATTCATAAGCGTTGTCCACGAGACCTTGCAGCTAACACAACAAGAAAAACGTATCTTGGCCTACATAGAGAATGCTGGTTAGTGCGAAAACTGATTTTTAGCTATGTTGCATGTTGTTCAAGTTAAAAGGGGGGATATAGGGGCGGGCGATGTGGCCGACCTGCCCGACCCTTTCAGTTTGGGGTCACTTATTTTAGTCCAAAATACAGAACGCAGGAATCATTTAAGGTTGCAGCCATGTTTAATGATGTTCACTATAGGAGGATTGTAATCATCCCTAAGAGAATAAAAGTGACAGCCATGTTGGATGATGTTTTTAATCATTTATTTTTCATTCATTTTTCCCCAGAACATTTGAGAACAAAAAAGACGATGGCAGCACGCTGCCTTCAAAGCTGCTGGAGATACAGAAGCTTCATCAAAAGACACGGCAATGCCATAGAGATCGGTGATTGGTTCAAGCTACAAAGAGCAAGGTTCCTACAACACAAATTCTTTGAAACAATGCGGCAATGGAGAACAGTCAGAAGAGCTTGGACAAGAGGTAACAAAATCGTAAAAGATTAACATCTGGAGTTTCCGTAGTGTAGTGGTTATCACGTGTGCCTAACACGCACAAGGTCCTGGGTTCGAGCCCCAGCGGAAACATTTTTCAATAAATTTTTCTTTTTACTTAAATTTAAACGTAAYTTTTTGCGTTACCTCATTTCTTTTATTATAATATTTGAATGTTTTAACTTTTTAATGCTTATTAGAAAATCTCTGGTATCTGAAGAAGTAAAAGGCTGAAAAATGCCGTGGTTCGATTGGTTATTTAAATATAAACTAATACTGTGCGCATGCGAAAGGATGACTCGTCACGTTCCTCGGTGCTCACCATGAGAAACAGGGGTGTGGCRACTGTAACGTGCTGTCAGTAATAAAGTACAATTTATCTGTTTTGTTTTAGATGATTACTGGAAGAAATTTTTCGTGATAGACGACACAGCCATGCTGTTAACTGATGTTTGTAGAACGATTGATAATATTGAGAGACAATTAGGAATACGACAAGGACAAAAAGGCAGCAAAAACTCACTTTATAGGAATCCATCTATCTACAGCCCGGTTCCCAAAAAGCAAGATACGGTAAGAAGAAAAATTTGAATTTGACAGTAAAATATACAACTTCTTACCCTCCCCTCCCCCTCCCTATTCTTAGTAAGGACTTTGAACTTTTGCAGAGGCATTATGACGACTTGTGATACCCATAACCTTTGTGTAGGCATCAACTTCCATATCACCGCCATCTTGTTTTAAGAAGAACTATCGTTTTATAACTATTAATATTTTTACGTTTTTATCTTAAATATTTTTGTCTTTTTTTCTGCAGCAAGAATGTGATAGAGTCTTTGAGTATCCGTCAATCAGTTTTCAAACACCTCTTCCTTCTCCATGTTACCATCCGAACAGTGTCCAGGCCGTTCTGGTAGATTCCTGGAAATCTCCTGCTGAACAACAACAGCAGCAGCAAAAGAAAGAAGAACAAGAAAAACGAGATAAACCGGTTATTCAAGTGGAATCTCAAAGCTTAAGAGACCCGCCAAAGCCCACAAATAACAACTTAGAAAACCATGCCCCGAGTCATGAAGATACGCGAAACAAAAGATATCTCCTCAGACGACCAGACTTTATTCGAAAAACAAGTGACATAAGCACCTCGAGTGATCATATTGACCGAGGTGCTATGCCTTTGGAATTACTACAGTCTAGAATTGACAGCGTCGAAAACTCGCTTGATCAAATCTACGGGAAAGTTAAGGGCGAATTGCGGGACATTCGCGATGCTATAAAAACTCTGGCTGCGTCAACGACGCCTGCGCCACGAACACCGCTCTGGTCGCCTGCGATGACAAGAGATGGAGAAACCTCCAGAGCTGATCCGATATTCTCTTACGCTAATATAGAAAAATACGATATTTAATAATGATGTGTAATATAAATAATAGAAATTGTCCATGTTGTTAATCTATTACCTTTTTTTGGTAAATTTAAATTTTTTTCCTTGCATTTTCCAAAAACATTTTAACTTTTTTTTTTTTTTTTTTTTTTTTTTTTTTTTTT